TTTATTTACTACTTCTATTTAATAATATACAATATGTGTGTGTATATATATATATATATATATATATATATAATTCATTTTCTGAAACAATTAGCTCTTTGCAAAACACTTGCTCTAAATTTCCATTTTATTTTACTTCCTTGAACAAAAACCAGAGATTCCAACTTTTAGGAATCTGTTTCAGTGAGACTTTTGAAAACATAAAATTTTTGTGAGCAACAAAGATGGTTACCTTCTAGGGAGGTTGATGGCAATGCTCCCTCAGAAAATGTTTTGTTCAATGAAGACAAATGGTAGAGTATGATCCATTTGCTGGATGAATGTGAACCTGTATTTGACCTGGATCCAGCAGTTTAACCAACCACTATTTGTTATAGAAAGCTGCTAATTTGACCCGAACTTGAGATTTTCTTACATATGCATAGAATAGGCCCAGTTGCACAAGACTTACTCTTGATACAAGAGTAATGGTAGCTCTAAAGAAAGGCTGCACACTCCCACACAAAATTAAGTGATAATTATACCATTATTTATTAATTTTATTACATTAAGAAATGACAAGTTTAAGAAGATATACATATATATAGGTGTGATTATAATAATAAACTTTAGTTTTCATATTGGGTAAATTGAAAAGATCACAACTGTGATGCATTTAGCAATATCTTTGTCTTTACAGAAGTTTTAAGATTGTGATTTACAAATTTTTTAACATCAACTATGTAAAGTAAGGGTAATGCAAATACACCACAGTTATGACAAAATAATTTTTTACTATGTGATGGCAGGCCCAGTTTACTCAATAATCAAGGTATACAGCTTATTATTTGTACACTAAAAATTATCATGGGGTAGCATAGCAATACAGTTTACTCCAAAGTGAATACAAAATACCAAAATCATGATCCAAAAGCATGAGCTATTTCAATGAGTGGTCTCTTCTTCAGGAGTAACAAAATACAAATTAAGCCTTAATTAATCATCATGTTTTTATTAGGCTACAACTTCACTACTATTAGATAATTACAGTGCTTTGTGAATGCACTCCATGAAAAGACACATTCAAAATCAAATTACACAAATTTTTGAACTTAGTTAAGTGTCTTATTAAAACTTAAGCATCACACTTATGTTTTTTCTCTTAAGTTCATATTATAAATATATATTATATATGTATATCATGATAGGGTATAAATACCTTTTTTAGCTAAAGCTTTAACATTGTTATGACTGATTTAACAACAATAACATATAATACTTACAGAAATGCTATTACTATTAGCCCTCTAATAGTTTTGATATTCTTAATTCTCCGAAATGCACATTACAATATATATATACACACTAACTTAGTCAGTGTATCATGTACTGTAGCTTGTAGGCCGTCGGCTTGTCAAAATTTTTAAATTATTTTATTATAACTTACCGTCACAACCAGGTGATTCAATACAAACCGTCAATTAATAACTACATTACTACTTTTTTTTAAATAAATACACTCACTTAAAGAAACGGAAGCTTTATTTTACTTTAGTTTTAATACAAAGGCTAGTCTCTCACAAAAATGTACTAAGGGCATTAAACTTAAGCATTTGCCATTTGTTGTGATAGTTTAGCGCCCTCTCCATAAGTAAAAAAATGAAACGTCATATGTTAGGATGTGAAACAAATGATAAAGCAAAACACGAACGTGATAATAGGAAGCATTTATTAAACGTGTCGGAATGATCATTATTCCATCATCAGTAACCTAGAGATACGAAACAAACAAACAATACTTGTAATTACAGTAGAAATATATATACATAAGAAGTAAACAATTTGAAAATACATGAAAATGAAAAATGTGGCACAGATGAAATAGCTAAAATAAGTATAAATCAAGTGAAGACTGTGTAATATTTAGGGACGCGAGATAACTGATGATGGAATTATGATGATTCCGAAACGTTTAATAAATGCTTCCTATTATCATGTTCGTGTTTTGCCTTATCATTAAGTTATGTTTTCTGAAAAATGAGTCGATTACTACGATACTTCTATGACGATACGGAAATGATTGTCTCAGAACTTACAGAACTATTGAAAAATTGGACTACAAAACAAAGAAGATAAATTTTGACATCCAGCTTTTAATAAAATGCAAAACCCAGTCATTAACTTCGAAGTTTTTTCAGTTCAAACTCGCTAATAGAAACTTTCAAAACTCAATAGCATATCGTACTTGTCAAATGCGCTTACTTGATGAAGAACATAGACGGAAACACCAACACAAACATCGTCTCTCATCTAAGCTGAATTCATCTCTAACTGCACTCTGCAACTTTACATTCTGGCTGGACTTCAATCACCTTTTGAATCTTATCAACCGTAGTAATGAGAAGAAAATTGCTTTACTACTAAGTTAAAAAACTTACCACTCTCCATCTTCTATAACTATAACACACCCAGGATATCTTCAAATCTGAAGAATTGTCAGCTATCAAAGAACCCCCCTAACTATCATAATCACCCGACCGGACAAAGGAAATGGAGTTGTTATCCTCAACAAAACTGATTATGTTAAGAAAATGCTTGACATTCTTAACAACAGCAATATGCTCAAACTTATAAACAAAGAACCATTAAACCATACTTTACAACTTGAAGAGAAAAGTCAGAGATTTTTTAGAACTCTCGACTAAACACTCTCTTTTCCTCTTTAACAATATTCTTTATGAGCAGCTAGATGGCGTTTTTATGGGCTCCCCACTAGGTCCTACGCTTGCTAACATTTTTCTGTCTCACCACGAACATAACTGAATTGACAACTCCCCTTTAAACTTCAAGCCTGTTCATTAGTTGATGATATTTTCCTTGTTTCTCGCCACACAGATCATATCCAACGCTTTCTTGACTATCTTAATTCACAGCACCCATCTATACAGTTCACTCATGAAATTGAGTGACCCTATAACCCTATTTCCTTTCTGGACGTTCTTGTTAACCATGATGCTAAGGGCTTTTCAATTTCTGTCTATAGTAAAAACACATTTACTGGCCTTTTTACTCAGTTTGACAGTTTTATACTCTTCTCTTTCAAACGCAATCTTATTCTCTGTCTACTAAATATATTTTTATTTGAAGTTAAGCACAAAGTTACACAATGGGCTATCTGTGCTCTACCCATCACGAGTATCAAAACCCGGATTCTAGCGTCGTATGTCCGCAGACATACGGCTGTGCTACTAAATAGAGTCTGCAAACTTACCTCATCCTATCTAGCTCTTCACAAAGAAATTACTTCCATACAAATGGCTACCCCTAAGCATTTCTTGGAGAAAATAATTTCCTCATTCTTAACTAATTTGTTTGTCAAACCACCTAAGATACCCACTGTACTCAAACTTCTCTTATATACCTGCTTACCATATTATATACAAATTATTATTACACATTATGTAAATCTTACTATCCCCAAACTGACCTGAAAGTTATTATGAAACCCAATTTCAGACTAAAAATTTTTTTCGGCTGCAAAGATCGTTTGCTGACTGCCCATTGTTCACACATCGCGAAATTATACAGGTGTAGAGACTGTAAGGCATCCTATTGTTACGCTTCTGTGTTCGTTTGTTAATTTTCCGTAAAAATTCTTTCCGAAGAAACTTTAGCGATACAAGTACTTTCTTAAATAAAACTAGTTTATTCTTTCTTAATACAACTTTGCAATACACATAATTTCCACAGTCACGCTATAACTTAACAAACGCTATAATTAACAACTGAACGATTCACGCGCTTGACTCAATTGTCCGTCTCTATCTCTGTCTGCAATTCGATTCCATTGCTGCCGTCACTTCTTGGCTGTCTTATATACAAGAATACCGCACATCTAGTAAACACTCGAGCATTCAAGAACCTTCGAGAATATTGTTACGTTTCTGGTCGTTAGTTCATTTTCCGTAAAAATTCTTTCCGAAGAAACTTTAGCGATACAAGTCCTTTCTTCAATAAAACTGGTTTATTCTTTCTGAATACAACTTTGCAATACACTTAATTTCCACAGTCACGCTATAACAAACGCTATAATTCACAACGAACGACTTATATACAAGAATATATACAATATATATATGTACATCTAGTGAACACTCGAGGCTTC